ATTGTGTTTTAATCACTTAATATGCTAAATCTATTTGGTATTACTGTAATGTTTTTATTTAAAAAATGGAAAGGCATGTACGATGATGGACAATTATCTCATTTGTGATTAGTTATGTAAACTTTTCAGTGATTCCAATATACCAATCCATGTGGCAAAGAGAAAATTTCACCGACTTTGAAACAAAAAGGAGTGGCTATTCCACCTCCTAAGGATTTGCATTGTGGTTGCAAATTCTTGTGTAAAAGTAAAGAACTAGAACCACTGAATTTGTTCATTGTCAAGATGTAATTCAATTTTCTTGAAAGAAAAATGAAAATCTCAGAAAAGCGTCATTGGTAAGAATGGTTCACGTACTAACATGGAGAGATCAAGTACTAAATCTGACGTTGGCAAATCGGATTTGAAAGAAAAAAAAAAGGATAATTATTAATTTGATAATCTTGCACCAAGAATATAAATGAGAAAAAATTGACGATCTTGCACCAAAAATCTTCTCTCCCCAACTAAGAACTATAAATCCTACTTTCTTGATTTTTACTTTGATTTTTCTATCCCTTTTCTCTCCAATTTTATATGATGAAACTCTTTTTATGACCTAAACACGGCCAATTTCTAGGGTAGAAAATTTTTGGTAGTTATGCTTTGAAAATAAATAAAAAGTGATAAAGACTAAGAAATAACAATACTCAGCAACCAGGCCAGCTTGGTCAGACTTAGGGGCAAAAAAGTAGTAGTTCGCTGGACAACGGTCAACCCCTGAATTTTTAATTAGGTCCCTGTATTATGCTTTTATATGATTTTGGTCCTTTTTCATTCTAATCTTTAATTTTGATATTGAAATTTCCAAAATCTTCCATATTAGTCCCCAAAACTTCATAATAATTCGAAATTGGTCCATCTTAAGTTCCAAAAATATGTTATTAGATTTCAGACTTTCTAATTGTCGGATTTAACTCCTGAAATTTATGAATTTCTTCTAAATGTTCTATTAATTCTTCTAATTGTTCATTTGCACTCTGGTTATTTTTAATTTCTCCTAGTAATTCAAGTCGGAATTTTTCCTACAATTAATATAATTTACTAAAAATTGATATAATCATTAATAAATAAGCAAGTATAGAAGTCCAGATAAGTACATAAAGTAATTTTTTTTTAATAGTGCGCACACAAAAGCTTGAGAAGATGAGAACACTAGCAACCTCCTAACTCATGTTGATTTAATCATGAATGCCAAAAAGCTAGACATCAAATGCTTGTTGATTCCATTGAATAACGACAATTTAGATACATAATTGAGTACAAACCATTTTTTTATATTTCATTATATCCAATTTTTCAAAAGACCCAAGTGGTCTTATTTATACAATAAAATAGAGTCTTATTCTATAATGAAATTTTAAAATACCACAGTAAAATCTTTATCTACTATATTAATTAAACGATTACCATAAGCAAAACATTAATCAACGTGAACAATCAAAAATTATCATAGAGTAATAAAATCTTAAAACTTAAAATAATTGATAATTTCTGTACGTAAACCACGCCAATTATATACAAATAAAATGAAAATGTAAAAAAAAATAAAAAATAAAAAAATAAAAAAATAAAATAAAACTTTGAGGCAGATGTGTATAGTTAATCAATGACTAATGGTTTCCATGCAAAATATAACATTCTTTCGAAGAGCATCAGTGACAAATATATAAATGACAGGTTTTGCTCAAAATTAAAAACTTGTTTATATCATTCAATGACATCTTATAAAAGAGGAAATAATGAAGCACAGGACACGAATAGAAAGTTTTGCCATAAGAGGAAACAATGAACCTATGAGGTGGATTACTTACCCTATGGCATGTGATAATTGGACTAGAGAGATTGGTGAGGATTGTTCTAGTTTAGAAGAATTGTGGACCATCTATTAATCCAATGGTTGGATTTAGTTTTGTGGTCAATTTATAGTAGTACTGTCTCTTTAACTCTTTATCGTAGTATAATGTTTGAATTTTGAATTCAAATGCCTTGATTTTTTAATTGCAAGTCTCTTCACTCGGGTCATTTGGATTTGGAGAACGAGAGAGGAGAAACAGTAACTAAGGGAAGAGACTTGTTCTTTGGCAAGAATTCTTGACTACCTCCGGCAATTTTTTTTTTTAATTTTTTTGTTATCCATTGCCATTCCCTTGGACGATGATGATGCTATGATCAGTTGTGACTAAAATTTGAGTTCAACATTATAGAACATATCGGCGGTGAAGTTGAAGAGATTTGAGTCAATTTTGTATACTTTGAGAGTTTGTTTTTCGTATTATAGTTGTAACAACCATATTTACCAAGGGCAGACGCAAACATTTTGAGTTAAGAAAACACAATCAAATCCTCCACAAATTGAATACTTTGTTCTTGATTTTTTAATGATTCATACTTGACCCAAGAAAATACAGATTTACATTTTAAAAACATTCTTTCATTAATATTTTGCTCATGACATTAAAGAATTCATAGTGCATTTGATACAAATAATCAATTAAAACAATCAATTCAAGTAATAGAGATGAAAAAAAAAAAAATATATATATATATATATAATCAATCAAAGAAACACAATTGGACATAATCATTTCATATGCATTTTATATATACACAATTTGATAGTTGAAAATTTGCTTGGGAGTGAAGATTTGTAGTAGATGTAATAATTTGTAGAGAAATTAATTACAAATTTTAAAAAATTGAAAGGGTTAAGATTTTGGTAAAAAGCGGGAAAGAGAGAGTAAGAGAAAAAAAATTCAAATTTATTGTGATTTTGCCCCTATTTGCGAGAATTAAAATCAATTTTTTAGAAGATTTTTATAAAAGTTGAAAAATTGTGAATCCCACGAAATATGTTATTAAAATTAATTGTTATCTTTAGATTTGATTAAAATATAGATTTCAATCAATACCAAGCATGAATTTATCAAAAAACAAAAAAAAAAATCCCAAAAAGTTGGGGATTTGTTGTGCGAATAGTGCCTTATGACCTGTGGCCGCTTAGCGTTCATGTGACCCCAGGACCCCCCAGTGTCCACCAGTGTGATTGTTACTCTACACTACAACTCTATAGAACCATATTTCACGAAATAGATATAAGTCTTAAATTTCGCATCTCATGTCGTCGGACGTGAAGGCTGGGATAGAAAATAGAAACAAACATTTACTACTCCTAAAATGGAGAAATGAAAGTCTTCTCGTGGTGGAAAAAAGTTGTAGTTGTAGACAAATGTAGTCCTTGATATGTGGGGAGGATTGTGGAAATTTCTTCAATTTGCAAAACTTTGCTAAATGTGGTCCACAAGCCACTGCATTACTAAGAAAAAATTGTTTGGAATGTAAAAAAAAAATTGACTTTTTCTTTCGACAGTTAATCAGCCAATTATTTGATTGTAAAAAATCAAGAATTTAAATATCTTATTATCGGTGCGTTAACTCAGTATTACTTGAGCATTTTTGTTAACAGTACTAACGAAGAAAAAGAAAAAACTATAAGTACACTTTATGTTTAGTTATAAATATGTGTACAGTTATAAACTAGAAAAATAAAACATTATTTTAAATGCTCATCCCAAATTGGTAGCAGTAGCTACGAGGGTAGTTCGTTGCTCCTTGTCGTGGGAATGGGTAATTAAATAGCAATTATTTTTTTCCTGTTGGTATGTTTTGTAGTTTCTTTTTTCAAATGAACAAAGAGTTTGTTTTCTCCATTTCCCTTTTCGCTCATTACTTTGTTCAAGGAAAATGCAATACTATTATTATTTATTTATTTATTAATTTTATTTTTTTTGGCCGTACAAGGCAAGGTATACTTTTTTTTCCTACCTCCCTTACTCCCTCGCTCCCCCCCCCCCCCCCCCCAAAAAAAAAGCT